GGAAACTCGTCTGCTTATTTGGAGTTGCACATGTGTAAAAATGTAAATTGTGTCTTTATCACATCTTAGCTACTGGAAGCAGCCATATATCATCCACCGTCCTGTCAACAGAGAGAAGAACCAATTTTCCTACCACCAGTGCCTCCATTTCCACAACAGCCACCAAGGGTGGAGGGAGGACTTTGAGGTCTCTGCCATCCAGCACCAGACTGGCCCGAACAACAGAGATTTCCACCACTGGTACCAAAACCATCAGCTCTCCAGACCATACCCGATCCTCTTTGGGAGCCCAGGGTGATGGTGGCAAAAGTGCCACCATATCATCCACGGACCCATTGCTCACAGGCTTACCATCTGCTTCCAAAAGCACTTCCCCAGGTGAGCTCTGGCTGTTCCCGTGGGGCTGCTTTCTGTAGACCTCAAACACCTGCTCTGTATGGAGGAGTGAAGGCATGCTAGAAGGTGCTGGACAAAGGCATTGGCCATTAAGGAGGAAAATGTCAACTTCCAGAGAAAAACATCATTAGCTGGATTTTGCATTTAGTAACCAGAAAAAAAAAACAGCTGTACTGCAAGAGCAGTCTGGGCCCGGGACTTGGTTTGTTTTCTGAGATAGCACCACTTCAAGAATGCCCTGTTGGGTGTGTTTATACAAGCAGGAGGTGGCACCAGTCACTCCTGACTCCTCCCCTGGGGTGCAAATGCAGTATTGGCTGATCCCATACAAGCCTGCCGTGCTCTCTTTAAGTGTCAAGGAGTTAGGTGCCAACAAAGGGAAGCAAACCCAACAGTGCTCCCGTGCCTTGTTCCTAGTGCCCTCTTCAGGGTGTCCTTGGAAAGGGTTGTGTCTTCACGGTTAGCATTTTCTCCAGGTTTGGGTCTTATACCACATTATACCTGTGCTGTCAGCCTGTGGATGGTGATGGAAGAGAGCATGCCCACCCTTTTATAGCTTAGGGTGTATAAATCCACTTTGCTTTGCCCTTTCTCAGCAGAAGGGACCTCAGCTACGGGAGGACGCCTGCCCGATGCTCCTCTCACCAGTACGCCCAGCTCAGTGACAGCCCCCAGCAGTGGGGAGAGGAGCATGGTGCCCGTGTCAGGTACCCACGCAGCAGCCAGCGTGGTGGGGAGCTCTACCCCCGCTCGACCCTACACCAGCTCCCTGGATGTCATCCTTCTGCCCTCCTCAGCAGCAGCAGAGCCGGGGGGGCAGCGTGGTGTTTCACAGAGCAGCACCACACTCGACAGGCTTCCAACAAAGTTGCTGCCGGCCTTTGCTTCCAGCATTCCGGTGCCTTCGCCTTCACCGAGTGCTTCAGGTGGGTCTTGTGGTTTCCTGGTTTGCCATGGAGAACCTTGCTCTACTCCTGAGCTCCCACCCTGCCTTTTCTAGCTTTAAACTAGACTTACCCTTTTAGTAAGCCTGGTTTATAGTGAAGGGTGTCTGAGCACTGCATGGTTGATGAGTTATTCACCTCAGGGCACTCAGGGTAGAGCTTCTTGTGTTCAGAACTAGATGGGCAGGCAGCTCTCCTGGGTCACTTGTGAAGGCTGCCATGGAGCCATGACCTCAGCCCTCAAACCAGGGAAGACTGGCACAAGGTATGGCAAGGGATCAGTAGACATTTTGTGGTTTCTTATATCCCCATTATCATGTATTTCAGTCTCAGCCTTGTTGCTAGTGTTCCACTAGAGCTGTTTTGAAACCTGCTGGTCTGACCACGGGAATGTTCTGCAGGATGTTCAAGACCATGTCCTACCTCCCTGCCACTATTCCTCTTCAGAAACACCATGCATCTCAATCTCTTTTATTTTTCCGCTGTAAAAGGGAAAATTACAGATCATCTAGGAGCTTCACTTAGCAAATAAGTGATGTTGGTCACTAAGTGCCACCTCTGTTGTGGAGACTGAAATATTCAGATTTTAGTGCCTGTAGAGGCATAAAAAGTATAATAGTATACACTCTACTTTGTATACCTCTGCTTTGCAATTCCAGACAGAGGAAGAACAGTTTCTGGTGCTCCTACTGAGACCATGTATGTCTCGACCACACTCTCCAGCCACAAGGAGGGGACATCTCAGGCTGCTGCCAATGGCAGCATATGGAGCACAGTGGTGGAAAGCTCCATGTCTCACCCAGATGCTGCCAGGGAGCCCAGCTCGGACCCATTCCCATCCTCCACAGCATGGCCTGGAGGAGGACACGTCTTGTCCAGCCAAGCAGGGTACCTAGAGCCCAAGGTCACCCTTTCATCCAGGATCTTCACCTACTTCTCATCTGCTGGTGAACCTTCCAGTGAGTTTTTCTGAACTCTGGGATTGCATTTGAGTCAGAAAAAAAACCCATTGCTTCTCCCTTCCCCACTTCACGAGGTTGATACAATCACAACCAATGCGTCAGAACTGTCGTGGTTGTCATGGGCAGGATTTATAAACTGTGGTGATTCTGCTCCTTGGTGTTGTGTATCTGCAGCAGCTGATGCTTAAGAAAATGTCTCAGAAATGAGATGTGTAGCTTCTTGCTGTAGGACACATCTACTACCTGCTGAGGTTGGGGTGATAGTTATAAATAATATACATATGCCACTATGACTCTGATAGTACCAGCTGGCTCTCTGTATTTGGACAGTCCTGTTTCTTTGGAGTATATTTTGTGTGTCAAACCCACATTTCAGGTGATAGATATGTGAGATGTACTTAGTCTGTATTTAATCTGTATTTATCGGTGCAATTTTATTAATCTGTGTTTCAAAACAGAATTATCGTAGAGCTCACAAGTGCTGTCTGCTCTGAGATGATAAAATCAGATGTGTGTTGTTTGATCCTGTTCCAGCTGTGGGCAGGAGCCACCACTCCCTCAGCAGCTCGAGTGAGGAGGAAGGGACGTCCAGCCCCATCACTGATCCTGTGCACGGCCCATCCACAGCTGCTGGTGGTGGGGAGAGGACGCTGCACTCGGGGTCGGACAGTGTGCTGGCTGGTGACACAGAGAGCTCCACGTCCTATGCTGAAAGCAGCAGCTCTCCAGGGCCAGCTCAGCCAGCGCTGGTGGAGCAGAGCAGGACGACCAACACCTCCAGCAGAAGTGGGGGCTTCACAGGCTTTGCAACAGAGATGCTCCTCACGCGCTCTTCCAAGATAACCACTTACTCTTCTTTCCAAAATGATCTCACAAGTAAGTTAGTGTCTCCCAGGGTACGTTTTGGGGGATGGGAAAGTTCATATTGTCCAGTGTTTATCTGTGTTGTATACAAAGTTCTCGTTCATTAGCTCATGTAATGCTGCCTGCGGGTTCACTCAGGGATGTTTTCATCAAAGGACTCAAAGCCAGACCTCACCTAGCTGGGGAACCATTCCAGAAATGAAGCCATGAACTCGAGCAGGGCAACTCTCTTGTTTTCATGGCTGCATTATTTTTTTTGCATCCTAATTTCTTTTGGGTGCTGCTTTCAGAAATGTTTCATGCCAACTGTAGAATTAAACCAAATTTTCAACACCCTTTCATTTTTAGAGATTGTTAAAATTAGCTCCACATCCTGAAATTCGTGTTATAAGACTGAGTGCACCTTTTGTGCTAAATAATCAGATTTTTTTTGTAGACTGATGTGCGTACTCATTTAGGATTTCCTGACTGCAAAGTTTTCAATCAATGAGTTCATGACAAGCTGCAAATTAACATAATGTAATAATTTCATCCTGCAAAGGCATGAAGTTCACCGTGTCTAAAAACAAATTGACTCAAGAGGATGGATACTCTTTAGCTGAGAATGGAGGATAAGAGGAAGAGGATATGAGGTTTATAAATTATGAGTGATAAAGAGAACAGATGGGTTTTCCTGCTTAGCTTGCCACAAAATATCACAGAACGATAAGTGCTCAATCACATTAGAAAAGCAATACTGCAAGAACAGTGTTTTAGAAACTTACACAATTCATGGGAGCCTTGTGTCTGAGTTCACCATTTTAGAATCAGTTAAGAAGCACAGCAGACTCCTAATTCAATACCTGTGCTTAGATGGTGCGCTAAATTTGTAGAAGAGCACAAGTACAGTTAAAAGACGAGGTCAATTTGTTTATTTAGCAAGTTATTTTAATATGACATGAAAATATTTTCATGTTACTCTGCCTTCCTGATAGATTTTGCCCTTTTTCTCCAGGTTTTTCAAGTAGCCATCAGCCAGTCAGAAGCATCGAAGCTGAGAAGAGGTCCTCAGTTTCTCATACAGCTGGCACATACATTTCAACCACATATACCAGAGGAGGAGAAAGGACCCTCCTCTCTATCTCGAATAGCAGCACCTCTGCTGACTCCTCAGAAAGTTCCACCTTTTTTTCTGAAATTTCCAGCCCTTCTGATTCATCAAGATCTTCTGTGACACAGGACAGGAGGAGCAACATATCCAGCGATGGAGGTTTCATTGAACCATCTACAGAGCCATTGCTGGTGCACTCTTCCAAGCCGTCGACTTCTGCTTCTGCAGATGGGGTACAAAATACAACTGTCTTCAACACTGACTCTGAGTTGTTGACTACTGGCAGATCATCTCTATCTTCATCAGCATTTCCGGCCTCTTCATCGCTGTCATCCCTGCATCACTCACTGTCATCAACACCACCACCAACTTACCTATTTACAACATCAAAATCATCTGAGCCACTCTCGTCCTCTATGATGGCGTCTTCCCCTCCTCTGCAGGCTTCGTCATCCTCCTTGCCCACTTCCTCATTGCTTTCCCCTACTTATTCATTGGCATCTTTATTGCCTCTCTTTTCATCACCGTCGTCCATCTCACAGTCCAATGAGAGTGACCAAGCAAGCACCTCTGTAGCTACGACTGTGGTCAGGCGGGTGCCCTCCACAGCTGCCGTGGCTGCGAGCTCACCCAGAGGGACCAACAGACACAGCGTTACACACCAGCCCCAAAACAGCACCACCATCACCTCTGC